TTTGCCACACTCTTGTGGCCCACTATTTCCGGGGTGCCTTGACAGTAGAAGCAGACTTTATGCTGCTGAAGCTTGAGAGGTGAGCAGAGTAAGTCTTCATTCCCTGTAAGGACTTCTCTGTTGACATCCACCCCTTGGCACTCATATGACCTTATGCAGTTGCGAGCGCTGGTAAAACCTCTACTAAAACTAACCTTAAATGATCGTAACGTTGTCCTATCGATGTTTATCTCTTTACTCAAACTTGCATACTCAAACATCAAAATGTGGGTGGCTGGCGGCTGCCCGGGTGTGTTTACTTCTTTAAAATCAAGCGTCGATCTTCTTTTTCTGTCCTTTTCGGGCAGTGCCACTGACTAGTGTCTTTAGGCCTTTCCCAAAACTGCCTGATCTACAACAGGGAACTGCTGCTTTTTCTTTCCTAATCCTTACTATTGTTATTTTCCTCTACTTCTTTTGTATGTTTGTCACTCTCTTGTGACCTGCTATTTCCGGGGTGCCTTGATAGTTGAAGCAGACCTTGTGCTGTTGAAGATAGAGAGATGGGCAGAGTGGGTCTGATTCCCTGTAGAGACTTCTCTGTTGACACCCACCCCTTGGCGCTCATATGACCGTATGCAGTTGCAAGTGCCGTAAAACAGTCTACTATAATAAAAAAAATAAAAATGTCCTTTTCCTTTTTTTGTGTTTGTTACTTTCTTGTTACACCTCTAATTTCGGCGCTTATATGACCTAATTGTATTGCAAGTACTGTAAAGCGCTTACTAAAGCAAAACAAACGCCAAAATGTTTCAGGTCTCGGAGACCTTAAAAGAAAGGGAGGCGAAGCTACAAAAGCGAGACCGCCAGGTGGACCACCTGCTCTCACAGTACAAGAAGCTGGACGCTGCCTACCTGAAGTGAGTCATCACACTTAAAACCAACAGAAGGGGGGGAGGGGGGGGGAGGATGTTCATGTTTGGAGGATTCTTGTAGTATATGAATTTTTATTAATCTAATAACACTCTATCTTCAAATCACCCCTCTCTAGTATAATGTAGAACCTGTGATGTAGTCTGCTCCTTGTTTTTCTTTACAGTGTTACTTTTGTTAGTATTCAGTATTTGATCCTGCTAAAATGACCAGGCTCAGGCTTTTTCTGTCAAATGCAAAATAGGCGTGCTTTGAAAGTCTTTTAAGAGATGATACTTTATTGTCCAAGTGAGAAATTTTTCTGTGGCTATGCAAAAGTTATAAAAATACATGTAGACACATAGAATTTAAATATCATTGTGTATATATATCTGACTTTATTTTGGATTGCAGAAGTTAGCCCTGACAGGCTGAGTTGAATCAGCCTTCTTCTTAATTGATCTTATTTGTATTAATTGCACATTTTAATTTTTTAACTTTTCACGACGTAGCTGTTTAAGTCGAAAATGATTTGCTGGAATAATTACAATAATGGAATTTGATTCCTCAGGCTGAGATATGCTCTGAAAGAAAAGATTGAGCTGGCCAAGTCCCAGAAGCGACAGATAGACTACCTGTCTGCCATGGCCAAGTGTTCCAGCCGTAAGTTACTCTGTCAGTTTTATTTTTTCCCAGGTTTAGCTCACTGCTACTTTTTTTTTTTTTTAAATCTTAAAATTTTTTTAAAAAAATGTGGACTGTCATTGTGAAGCTTGGAATATTTTTGTTCCTTAGCTATAATATATATTTACAGTATGTTCATAAGGTGAAGTGTCTTTTCTGTGCAGTATGCAGGCGGTTACAGCGGGCTGGTAATCCCTGCG